CCTTACAATACTGGCTAGACCAGAGGATATACACTGGTACAGATAGGAACTGGAAACACAGGGAATCCAGGGTGGATGATCCCTTCAGGACCAGTCATGAGAGTGGCGATACCAGGAGGGTGGAGAGAGTGGGTTGGAAAGGGGGAATCGATTACAAGGATCTACATATTACCTCCTCCTTGGGGAGAAGGACAACAGAAAAGTGGGTGAAGGGAGACATCAGACAATGCAAGATATGACAAAATAGTAATTTGTAAATTATCAAGGGTTCATGAGAGTAGGTGGAGTGGGGAGGGAGGAGAAAAAATGAGGAGTTGATGACAGGAGCTTGGGTGGAGAATGTTTAGAGAATGATGATGGCAAGATATGACAAAATAATAATTTATAAATTATCAAGGGTTCATGAGGCAGGGGATAGCGGGGAGGGATGGAAAAAATGAGGACCTGATGCCGGGGGCTTAAGTGGAAAGCAAATGGTTTGAGAATGATGAGGGTAATGAATGTACAAATGTGCTTTACACAATTGATGTATGTATGGATTGTGATAAGAGGTATATGAGCCCCTAATAAAATGATTAAAAATAAATTAAATTAAATGTTGAAGACAAAAAAAATCAGAACTACAAAAGGCTAGAATATTTAAGCAAGGTATTTCTGGAATCTCTCAAATAGATGAGATTAATTTTTCCAACTTGTATTAAATGAGGACTTCAAAAAGTTTGTCGAAAAAGAGAACTAGAGGATAGAGGAATTTCTCCATGAACTTTCTCAAGCCCCCTCATCATTCCTTTCTGAACTATAACTCACTCCAAGCACCCATTTCTTTAAATAAGAAATCCATACATCTTCAACCTTACACTTCTAATGACCGCTTCCTACAGTACAAGAGATAAGTGAAAACGATCATTTTTCTTTTTTATTGGCACATTCTTTTGAATCAATTCTCAAATAAGCTGTTTTGAGATCTAATCAATCAGAACAGGTAAATAACCTTCCTGAAATCTGGAAGATACTTTTTTGTTAAATGATCTTGATATTTAATTAAAAATGTGATGGAAATAAACTTCAAAGTGTATTAGCTGTCTATTCCTTTTAATAACATTGCTTAAACACTCATCATGTATCCAACATTGTGCTGTACCTCATCCAATCCCACAGCAACCCCAACTATAGTTCAAAAGGAGCAGAGTAGGCTTTGAACTCAGGTTTATGGGGTGTAAGTGCAAGCACAGATTATAATAATTTTCTTTCTTTTTTCTTAATCCAAGTGATCTTTGAGAAGTGCTTTTTGAAGCTCAGCTAAAGTTAGCACTCACTTCCCAGCTGCCACAATGACCTCTGTCTTCTCAAGCTGTGGTTGTGTCAGATTGTCATCTGTGAAAACAAAGAGAAACATACTAGGACTGCTGGTACACTATTTGACTCTAGTTTGCATGAATATAGTTTTCTTAGGCTAGGAATAGTTACTTATGGCATTTGTAGTTTAGATAGAGGCCTAGTTAGATGCTTCATCCTGAATCCCTATGGTCTCCAGGACTGGGAAAACAAAAATGAAACACAAGCATTTCCCCAGCCACATGCAAATAATTCATCAATGACAATCATTTAAAAAGTTCACCTTAAAGGAAAAGGTAAACTTAGAGCATTAAAAAAAAGGGAATAAGGAAATAAGTATATATTTAATATGAATATGCATCCCTGCAATGTTACCCTTTTAAAGACACCATGTGGTCTTCAAATGGACCACTATTACTGAGAAGACTGCCAAAACATATTGCAAACACTTACCTGTCTTTTCTACTTTTGGTACCTGCTGTACCTCATACACACAGTTCTGTGAGATACCTAGGTTTGGGGGCCAAATTGGAATAGATAAAATTCTTTGTCCCCGTGAAGACTGTTCCTGGCCAGATACCTAAACAAAATTTCAACAGGTATCTTAAGTGAAGAGATTTAAAAAAAAAAAAATCATTTTATTGGGGGCTCCTACAATTCTTATCACAATCCATACATCCATCCATTGTGTCAAGCACATATGTACATTTGTTGCCATCATCATTCTCAAAACATTTGCCTTCTACTTGAGCCCTAATATCGGCTGCTCATTTTCCCTCTCCCTCCCCCCCTCCCCCATGAACCCTTCATAATTCATAAATTATTATTTGTCATGTTATACTGTCCGACGTCTCCCCCTGCCCTCTTCTCTGCTGTCCATTCCCCAGGGAGGAGGCTATACGTAGATTCTTGTAATCAGTTCCCCCTTTCTACCCCACATGCCCTCCACCCTCCAGGCATCGCCACTCTCACCACTGGTCCTGAAGGAGTCATCTGTCCTGGATTCCCTGTGTTTCCAGTTCCTATCTGTACCAGTGTACATCCTCTGGTCTAGCCAGATTTGTAAGGTAGAATTGGGATCATGATAGTGGGGAAGCATTTAAAAACTAGAGGAAAGTTATTTGTGTCATCGTTGCTACCCTGAACCCTGACTGGTTCATCTCCTCCCCACAACCCTTCAGTAAGGGGGTGTCCAGTTGCCTACCGATGGGCTTTGAGGGGGGACTCAAAGTGAGGAGATTTTAAAGACCTTACGTATTGAAAAGCTTGTCTTAAATAAGAGGCCTTCCAAGTATGATGAATATTACCCTTTATTCATTCTATTACAAGACTATGTGTGTTCATAACATCTTATTCAAATGCAGTTCAGAAAGCACATCATTTTTATGAAAATGCCAATGTTTTTCTTTATTTTGGACACACAAATGTGCTATTAGCTTTGGACCACTACTGTTCTTCCTTTTTCGGCTCTTGTAATCTACAGCTAACCATTGCTACCACATAGATTCTGACTCACAGTGACCCTATAGGACAGAATGGAACTGCTCTACAGGGTTTCTCAGGTTACAATCTTTACAGGTCATTGAGTCAGAATCAACTCGATGGAAATGGGTTTGATTTTGAATTTTTTAAAAGCAGATTACCACAGTTTTCTCTTGTGGAGGCCCAGTAGGTCTGAACCAGTCCTTTCGGCTACCAGGGTTCCTCTCCTGCATTATTGCTTCTACATATAAAATACTGAGATCAACTCTTACAAAATCTTTTTCTACTCAGAAGTCCAGAGGTAGAGAGCTTATAATGATTACATATACAGATGATATGATTTAAGTAAGCAAAGCAAATCACAATAAGAAATTTAAAATAAGCAAGTATATCAAGCTAAAGAATTAAATATATGGGGGTTACATCCCCAAAAGGAACTTTTCCCCCAAAGTTGTGTATTTAAATTTTTTTTACAAAACAACCTTATCACCTTCAAAGTACTCTCCATTACACTTAATACATTTGTCAAATCTGTGATTCCTTTTTTGGAAACATTTTTCAAACTCATCCGTTTGGATGGTTGACAGCACCTCCCTCGTTTTTTTCTTCACCTCTTCTACATAGTCAAATCCCTACCCTTTCTTGTCCCTCTGCATTCGCAGAAACAAAAAGAAGTCGCATGGAGTGAGGTCAAGTGAGTCAGGTGCGTGGGGCAAGAGAGGTATACTGGTTTTTTTGGTTGTTGTTTTTTTTTTGCCAAAAACTGGCACAGAGATGGCTGTGTGGGCATGTGCATTATCGTGATAGCAAAACCAACCAGTTCCCCGTTTGCCACAAATCAGGTCTTTTTTGTCACACACTGCTAAGCAATCTTTTCAGAACCTCTAAATAGCTTGATTAACAGTCTGACCTAGTGGAATTAACTCCAAATGAACTATCCCCATCACATCCATGGGGTTTTTTTGGGTAACCCCTCATGTTACGTAAAAGAAAAATTATACAAGAATATTAATTTACTGTTACCAAAAAATCAATGCACTTAAAAGTTCTGCAAGGACTGGCTCTTATTTGTGAAGCAGCCATGTATTTCAATTTTCTTCTATCCCATTTGTAGTTTGCATTATTATTATTACTGGTATTATTATTATTTTACAGTCTACTTATTCTTCTAAGCTGCGTGTTGCCATGGATAGATGAAATTCAACCAAGTGTTGTAGTAATTGTAGAAAATCTTTTTACCTGAGTAATCTGAGGCTACTGGATAGGCTGCAGTTTTTGAACAGCCATATAATGACTATCCTTACAACAATCAATAAATCAACTTAGTCCACCCCTTAATTATGGAGTACTTACCTTTCCTATAGCAAGTCCTTCATAATTCAATTTTCCTTCTTTTATAAAGCTGTAGAGTGGAGAACCAGGAACGGAATTAAAGTCACCACACATCACTATAGGGCAGAAGCTGCCATCTTTCTGGTGGGCAACACTGGAAATCTCTGCCAGTAGCATTGCCAACTGGGTCAACTTAATATCTCCCCGCCTTGGGTTATACAGCAGATGTGTGTTAGCTATACAGATTGCAGGAGAGGCAGCAGATGGGATTCTGGGTTGCAAGAGCAACACTAATCCAACATTGTCTCTGTCCAATAGAGGAATGTCAGGGCGGTAGAACTCCACTGGGTTCACTGATAAGAGCGAAAATTTGGACTGTTTAAAGCAAATGGCACAGCCATCAGGCTTCCTTCCTGTCCGCATCTTGTATTCACAGTGATAACCTACAAGACACAAGTGAATTTAAGAGAATCTATGTTCATCTAATTGCTTTGGATCAATCTACTGCACAGGACCTCTTTAAGCATGTTGAAGAGCAAAGGGATGTTTTCTTTGAGGATTAAGGTGCACCTGACCCAAGCCATGGCATATCCAATCACCTCATACGCATGTGAAAGTTGGATAGTGAATAAGGAACACCAAAGAAGAATCGATGCACTTGAATTATAGTGCCGGCAAAGAATACGGAAAGCACCATGGACTGCCAAAAGGACAAACTGATCTATTATCTTGGAGGAAGTACCACCAGAGCGCTCCTTAGATGCATATACTTTACACATGTTGTTGGGAGAAACAAGTTCCCCGAAGGGAACATCATGCTTGGGAGAGTAGTGAGGCAATGAAAAAGAGGAAGACCTCCGATGAGATGGGTTGACATTGTGGCTGCAAGGATGGGTAGCGGTTCATTGTTGTACATGGGGTCGCTATGAGTCACAACCAACTGGATGACACCTAACAGCAACCCAGCATACTCATATCTATACACACACACATCTAATGGACCTTTGCTGGCGCTGTCAAGTAAGCCTTGGACTGCTAACTACAAGGTTGGTGGTTCAAACTCATCAGTCATTCCTTGGGAGTAAAGTTGAAGCTGTCTATTCCCATAAAGATTTACAGCCTCAGAAAGCCTAAAGTCACTATGGTACAGAATCCACTCAATGGCCCCGAGTTTTTGGATTTTCATACACACACATATAAACACATGGATACATATATGTCAAAACACAACTCTCCTAATATGTTTAGCGAAACGTTTTCTCCAAAACGTGTTGCATGGTAATATGGTTGGGGCAAGCTTCTCGTCTTTAATGTGCATTATCACTCTCCCATTTCCATCCTAATAAAACCCAGCCACACCAATGGTAGTGAAGCCTTAAATCAATCTCCCCCTTCACCTTCCAGTCCCTTTTCCCCTCACTCCATTCTAACCACGTTGACCTGCTGACATGCCTCTCACCTGAAGGCCTGTCCCCTTGTGATTTCCACTGCTGGGATGCTTTCTACAATGACTTGTTCCATCACCACCTTCTCAGTGAGTCCTTTTGTTTAAAATATAAATATTCTCACTCTTCTACAAAAAACCATCACTGTAACATACAATTTACTTATTTTATTTACTGTGAGTCTTTCTCCACTGGAATATATGCACTACAAGGGCAAGGATTTTTAACTCTCTGACCCACTGCAGCATCCCTGATGCCTGCTTCAGAGGATGGTTAGATAATAGGCACTCAAAAGGCAATTGCTGAATGAGTAAGAAGCAGCAAAGTAGGAAGCATTTCTCAAACTATGTAACCACAAGTAACCTATTTCTTACTCTGTTTTCTACAACAGGCTTTTAACTTCTATCCATTAGGCACTGGTGTTAAATGGGTAACTAAACAGAATGGTAGCTGACCTCATGGAGTTCAGAATCTTCAGAGGTCTAGCATCACCTTGGAAAGGGACCTACTAAGAGATTCTCACACACCTTTTCATTTGAATAAAAATCACATAGCAACAGAAAAATTTCCACTTGAAATACATCAATGCGTATTAAGTTTTCTATTAAGATATTTTTGAAGGGAGGACACAAATCTTTGTTAGCTTCAATACACGTAAATCTTAGAAGTTAAATCTGGCAACAACAACAAAAAATTACCCAGTGATTCCAAACTTGGCCTGATCTCTGTTCCATAATGGTCTTCTTGAACTTCTTGCAAACAAAGTACCTGGGAGAAAAAAATAACAGATTAAGAAAAAAATGGAGGTATAAAGTTTTAACCTTTAAAATAGGCTTCAGAAACTTAAAAAATTATGAAAATGGCATGATTTCTTTTTTTTTTAACTATTGACAGGGCCATCAAACTCACATTTCCAAATTTGATGATTCCAAACACATTAAATGACACAGTGCTCACTTCGTACCCCAAAAGGAGTATTTACAAAGGAGATAGTTGTCATTGACAGGCTGGGTATTTTTCCCAAGTGCATGAAATTATTTCCAGCCTTTCTTTAAGGGGTGGATTTCTCTAGAGGCCATTCATTACCCATATTTAAATTTATATGAATTATTAAATATCAAATTCCAAAGAACATTTATTGGATAATGTTTCCAGTTCTTATTTCAAAATTAATACTTAAATATTTTGGATCCTTTTTGAAAAGTCAGATGATATCAATAGCAAATGATATGCTAGAAGCCATGACACTCGGTTAAACCTTGTCCCATCACTAGTTTTAAACACCTTTCCTTCTTTTTAAAAAAAAAAATCATTTTATTGGGGGCTTATCCAACTCATCACAATCTATACATACATCAATTGTATAAAGCACATTTGTACATTCATTACCCTCATCATTCTCAAAACATTTGCTCTCTAGGTAAGCCCCTGGCATCAGCTCATTTCCCCCCCCCTCCCTCTCTGCTCCCCCCTCCCTCATGAACCCTTGATAATTTATAATTATTTTGTCATATCTTACACTGTCCGACGTCTCCCTTCATCCACTTCTCTGTTGTCCATCCCCCAGGGAGGAGGTTATATGTAGATCCTTATAATCGGTTCCCCTTCTCTACCTCACCCTCACGGTATCTCCACTCTCACCACTGGTCTTGAAGGGATCATCCGCCCTGGATTCCCTGTGTTTCCAATTACTATCTGTACCAGTGTACATCCTCTGGTCTAGCCAGATTTGAAAGGGAGAACTGGGATCATGATAGTGGAGGGGCGAGAAAGCATTTAGGAACTAGAGGAAAGTTGTATGTCTCATCATTGCTACACTGCACTCTGACTGGCTTGTCTCCTCCCTGCGACCCTTCCATAAGGGGGTGTCCAGTTGCCTACAGATGGGCTTTGGGTCCCCACCCCACACTCCCCCTCATTCACAATATGATATTTTGTTCTTTGATGCCTGATACTTCATCCCTTCAACACCTCATGATCACACAGGCTATACCTTTCTTTCCTATCCTACAAGCGAAAAGGTCAAACCAGTGAGTTCTCAAATGCACAAGTGAAGTATGTCACCCAAGTTTCTCTTGCCTGAAGAGTTTTAGTAGTATTTGGCACTTACATCTGCATCAAAGTGTTTAATTTCTCTCAGAATATTGGGAAACCTAAAACTCCAGTGCAATAATGGCTGTCGGCAGTGTCTGTAGAGGTGTGAATTGTCTTCCAATAAGTCTTGTGACAGTATATTATAGGACATCACTGAAAAGTCAAACTGGTTCTCACTGTCTTCACAATTGGGGTCGCCATTTTTGTCTCCTAGGATCTTCGTGTTTTCTTTATTATGGCTATATATATATTCCCACTGCCGTTCTATTGTGCCTGTCAAAATATATTCAATAAAATAGAGAATTAATTAAAGTAGATCATGTATTTTCCTGTATACAGCTTATTTCCCTTCCTTTAAAAAAGTTCCTACAGGCAATGCATAGAATTTTCTTCCCTAGGAAGGGACAATATAGTACCAAATCTCACTGAAGTTCAAACAGCTGGTTCCACAGCTGGTTTGGCAATATACTGACAAGTCATGAGGCAAGTCAATATGGAGCCTGAGAGTTTACGTCAATGAAACAGAAGGGGTAGTGGTTTCGTAATCCTCCATGATTAAAAAGTAGCTTTGCTACGGACATGGCTAGCAACTTTACATTTGTACATCACAGTCAGTTCTTCAGTAGACTAAGTTCACATTACATCTAATTCTATTAGTAAGATCATCAAATGGTCAACTAGGTTCCAGAAATAATTCTTAGCTTAGAATTCTGGTTTAGATATGAATGGTATATAATTGCAACCTATGAAATCATTTATTATCTAAAACACGAATATGAAACAATGCAAATAAAACAAGCATAATGAGTTCTTTTAATGCATACTGAAGCAAAAACATTAAATGTGGCACAGTCACAGATGGTAGTAAACAATAGTATCTGGTAATCCACCTAGCATGCAGCAGCAGCAAAGAGTATGTGATAGTTTATCGGCTACAAATGCATTATGTACCCTGTATATTGATGAAAGAGATTCAAAAGCCATGAGTTTTGAAATTACGGGCAATCCTTGATTTAGAAATGACCACCATATAACATACATTCTTACCCCACTTTGGAAGACACGGG